AGATTGTTCCTACCGTAGTTACAAGAAGAATTTTGTGTTCATCATCTAAAAAATGGTACTTTTAAAGTTAAATGATCCTAAATATTCTTAATGTGGAAAGTTTATTTTTTAAAACCGTGTTAAAAATATTATTTTTAATTACCCTAAAATTTTATGTTTGTTAAAACCAACCTAACAGATGCAAATTTTTTTCATATTCTTGACCTAAATTACACAGCTTTTTGTCTTTACTGTGCGACAAAGTAAATGCAACCACCAAATTAAAATCTTAACGTTTTGGCTGATCTCAACACATCAACTTACATAAGTAATAAGAGAGAAAAACTAGAAACAAGGTCTAACTAAGTACTACTTTTTTCCTTTAATAGTTTTGTATTTTTTTTTTATGAATATCTTTTTAATAATTTTAGTTGCAGTTACATAATAGAGAGAAACATTTTTTAAAATAAAATTGTTGTCTTTTTCTTGCCGTCCGTTTATATTAACATTGGCCTACGTAACTCTGCCTCTTTAATTACAAAAAGATATTTTATTCCATTTTTAAAAAGAAAAACCATAACCAGCATGGATAATTCGATTTAATCTCTCAAACACAATTTCAGTGTAAATTTTATCTAATCTCAAAAAAATTGTAAAAATGAAAACTAAAATTCATTAACTTTATAAAAGGAATATATATTTTAAGATATTCAATCCAAATAAAATCTAACATCTCATGTTAATAGGAAAAATAAAAAGTTGGTAAGAAATAATTAAGATGTCTCATTGTAATAACCTATAATATTCTAAATACACAAAAACACAATATCATAATCTAGATAATAATACATTCACATATCATAAATTGTTTGATTTTTTAACTTTTTTTATTATGCTTTTTTTTGTTATAACTTAAGTAGGAATGACCATGTAAGTTGATTATTTTATTTTGTTTCAAATTTAACAAGTAAAAATTAGAGTGAATTGACCTCTCTATAGTATTGTTAAAATGGATCATCCGGTCCAATTCGGTACGATCCATTACAAGTTGGTTATTTAGTGAGTTAACTCAACCCAACTTACTTAATTATAAGTTTATTTTTAATTTTTAAAAAATAATAATTTTTTTCTAATTCAAATCTAAATAATTTTCAATCCAAAAGGATTAATTGAATATATATATATATATATATATATATATATATATATATATAATACAATCCAAAATCATCTTAAACTCGTAATATAATTTAAAAGTAAGCACAAAAAGTAAAATTAAGTAGGTTGGTGAGTCAATCCGATTCACCACAAATTCAATCCGAGTAAATCAAATTCAAAATTGGTCCATATCAAATTCTTTTTCAATCTAACCAGTACAAACCCTAATAATTCAAATTAACTCTCATATTCTAACCTATTTTGAAAGCATTACATGCTTGACATAAAAATTCCATGAAAAGGTGTGTATAAACGTTTTTATTATGTTTAAATCTACTATTTATAATGAAATTAAAGTAAATTAAGTAAATATAAAATTAACATTTGCATTAAATAAATATTTAAAAGTTAAGTTTTTTAAGAAAAGGAAAAAATAAAAAAAAATATTGTTTAAGTTAAAAAAACTATAATAATTAATCAATATTAAACGTAAACAAAAAAGATGACTTAGAAATTCAAGTATAAAGTGAATAATAAATAATAAAATAAAATAAAAGAATTTTATGTGACTTAAAATATAGTAAATTTTACATTATGAGAATCAAGTGATCTCCTTTTGTTATTGACTCGTTATGTGAAACGAATATAAACATATTAACGAACTAAAATACTTAAGTCATTTTATATTCTTTTAGTGAACCACGTCCCTTGTCCATCGTCATTTCTAGATTTAAGTAATATTTTTTAAAATATCCGCAAGGTCAATTATGTCTTTTTCTTACAACTTGATTTAAAGGATTAGTTTTATTACATATTATTTAACATAATATTTTGGGAAGATAAGAAAAGCGTTTCTTAAAAAATTAAAATTTATATTATTTAATGAAAGAATTTGTAAAACATCATGTTTAATTATGGTGTTTTTCTAATAATTTATTTATAGTCATACTTTCCAGAAATGAAATATAGTACCACATCGTGTGGATAAAGATGTGCGTGAATGGGTTGTAGATCTTAGGAATATGGGTGAGAGCGACAAAGCAAGAGATATAAGTAAATAAAATAAAATTGGGGGAATAAGTGATGGGTTGAAAATGTTAAGGAACAAAATGATGAAGTGCATGAGTTACAGTGATATTAACCTAATACAAGAGACATCATTTTCCATGTTTGGCCATAGTCTCTACATTTGGTAGGTCTTGGTTGAGATATGTATAAGATAACAAATCAATGAATGAGATATTGGAGAAAAGATTTTGAATAAAGCATGATTTAGTGTGTGCAAGGTGGCTTCGCTTAGAAGAACCTTCAGCTATAGTGCTGCTGCCACTTACCATCTCTCTTTCACCATTTTTTCTCCAAATTTTATATACATTCCTTACAAACCCTAATTATATATCATTACATATATTTTTTAAACAAAATATCTAAAATATGAGCTTTAACCTAATATGATAAAATAAAATAATCATACAGGATATACTTTTACATTTATTTATTTATTTGGTTACGTTCATTTGACGTATAAAAATAAAATAAGTATAAAATAATAAAATTTTGTACTTTTTTAAATAAAAAATAGATAATAATGTGAAAATTTAATTGTGTGTGAAAATATAATTTTTCGTAATGAAAGATTAGCAATGTTCACACAGTTTGTTTGTATAATAATTGTTAATTTTACGTTTAAGCTTTTCTTTTTCTCAGTTGAGTTGAGTTGGCATATGTAGAAAATAAAGAGAAGGAGGGAGAATTTTCAAACAAAGAATGAGTGTTGCTGGATAAGTTTCATTGCGTGGATATTAATTAATTTACAAATACTTGAAGATTCTAAAATATATAGAGATATTTTTTAAATACGTATCAATCACTCAATATTATTCATATTGTTTTCCTCTTTAAGATGGTAATTTGATGAGCTTGGAGAGTTGAAGAAGTGAATATGAAGATAGGAGAAATAGGGAGAAAATATAAGAAATTAGGAAATGGTTTGGAAAAAAAGTTAAAGATGAGATATGATTTAGGTGAAGAGGCCCAAAAGGCCATAATGGAAGCCCACAGCCATGTTTAAGGTTTTAAAACTAAAAAGGGTAAGAAAAATGAAGTTGGAATAAAGAAAAAATGAAAAAGGTTTGAGAAGTGGCAATAGCAGATGGTAGTGGAATTTTAGGAAATGTGTGGAAGTTGGCAAAGCATATCTCTCAGACTGAGAGAAAAGAGTGAAGAGTGTACTATGGACCAACCTATGCCAATGTCACTACATATGGCAACTTGAATATGACTTCATGCTTCCAACAAAATTCAAACAAACAAACAAAACTATTCTTCAAACCTTTCATTTTTTTACCTTTATCCCATTTTTTTTTTCTGAATCACATAAATAAATATTTCTAAAAAATAATACATTACATAAGACTACAAAGTATTGTAATTATGATTTGTTTTCTTATTTTGAATATGCTGTATTTATAGGTAAGAGAAAAAAATAAATAATAAACAATTTAATTACAAAAACCGTTAATTTATTTAGAAAATTAACATTTATCTATAAAAGTAACCTTAACTTTTTTAAATTTCACACACACACACACATATATATATATATATATATATATATATATATATATATATATAATAAATTAAATCTATGTATTATTTTGGGTTAAATATGTTTTTAGTCCCTAAACTATTGGCAGTTGGTTTTCATCCCTTCTTCAGGTACAATTTGGTCCTCATTCTTTTCGAAACGTTCGTTTTAGTCCTCTAAAACTAAACACTGTTTAAAAATTTGGTCCTCATTTAGCAACAAATGAGGACTAAAACCAAAATTCCGAGGACTAAAACAAACGTTTCGAAAAGAATGAGGACCAAATTGTACCTTATTTTGAAACAAGGACCAAAACCAGAAACGACCAATAATTTAGAGACTAAAAACATATTTAACCCTATTATTTTTGTTTCATTAACTTTATGACTCTCTTCTTTTTAGTTTCTGCATTCTAAATATATTTCCTTGGTCAACTGATTTTAGTTCCAAATATATCAACGAAACTGTTATATACTAAATTAAATCTATTTATTAGTTTTGTTTCATTAACTTTATGACTCTCATCTTTTTATTTTTCTACATTTTAAATATATTTCCTTGGTCAACTTATTTTATATATACGAAACTATTATATATATAGTGTATATGTGTATGTTATTTTTATTATTGGTTGGACGAAGAATAATCGTGGTTCTGAGTCCATCATGAAATATATTTGAAATTTTTTTCATCCTTATCTTAAAGGGGAAAAAAAGTCCAAACTGGAGTGAGTTTTTGCAATGGTTCAATTACGGAAATTCAGATATTTTTAATATATTCTTACCAGAATGGATGATAAAGTTAAAAATGTAAAGAGAGAAAGAGATATTAATGTCAAAAACTAGAAACCTAAATAGTAGATGGTAATATCGGAACAGTTACGCGAGTTCATCGTTACGTCTAAAATATTAACATTAAAACAAAAAAGACTTTAATACTAAAAATTTTGTATTACGCTAAAAATATACAACAGATTTGTAATTAAAGTAAAAAATATTTCAAAATTAAGTTTAAATTGTTAATTATATTTATGTGGTATGTAAGAGTAACCCAAGCAGTACTTTATGAATTTAATTGACTAAATTTAAATAAATAATAGTAATGGGATATTAATTACAAAACCGCTAAACTCAACCCTTCAACCATTGTGTAATGGAAGAATTAAAAGAAGAGGGACGCGCCATCACGCGCCTCTCTCTCTCTCTCTCTCTCTGACAGAAAAGAAAAGCAAGCAGCATTCCTATTCCTATAGTGCATAGAGTATATAGAGAAACCTCTTGCTCACTTCATTACCTGCCTGTCGTTTTTGTCGTATCAAAAAAGAAACGAAAAAGAACGCAAACATAAAATATAAATAAATAAAACACTTCTCTTTCTCTTTCTCTCTCGAGTGTTGTGTTGTGTGTCTTGGGTTCAATGTGTTGGCTGTTGCTTGGCCTTGTTTATCAACTAAATCTAGAGCAACCCATTTCTCTGTTCTCCCATTTGAAGGAAAACTCACCATCATCTCTTACTCAATCCCTTCAATTGCGCCACCATTTTTTCTTTCTTTTTCTCCATTTTTTTCTCTTCCTCACAGACCCGGTGCTGTAGTGTGGTGTGTTGTGCCTCATTCAACCTCTCACACTGTTCGACTATTTCAAACGAGGTAATGGGTTTCGGCTACTAATTCTCAAAATGTTCTCTTTTTTTGCTCTTATTTAAAAAAAATGAAAAAAAAACTGATTTTTTTTTTATCTTTTCTTGATGCATCTCTGTCTTTGTTGATCTGTCTGTGTTTCAATAATTTGATATCAACTCGGGTTATCTTTTATTGTCAGTTTTGTCGGGATCGAGGAGGGTCTCGGGTTATCTTTTATGGGTATTTTCGCCATTTGATTCCCATCCCAACCCTTGTTCTTTATTAGTTTTGTTCTTGCCAACAACCCCTTCTTAGGGCTTGACGGTTATGGAGAGTTGTTTTGTATTCAATGTTGTTTTTGTGGAGAAAATATTTTGATTTTCGATCAACGGGCTGTCTTTGGCAGAGTTGCTGTTAAAAATGTTGGCTTTTCCATGGTTTTCTCTTTCTGACAAATGCTTGTTCAGCTTCTGAGGTATTTCGATTTTGAGGTTTCATTGCATTGGTTGAAATTTTGGTATTTTTGTGTTTGATAGAATTTCTCCTTTGTATCACGCATGTTGTTCATATGAGTCCATAGTAATCTCTGAGATAATCTGGAAGCATGGGGATTTTGAGTGTGCTTACAGAGTGTAATTTATTATTTCTGGGAGCTGAACATAGTAGCATATATGAAGTTAGGTTTTTTGAATCTTGTTATATGTTCTTAATTTCTCCCATTTCATCCAGTATTTTGCTTTGCTTTACCCTGCTATGTTTGCTTATGTAGATTGCAGCTAACAACTATTTTTATTCAATTTATTCACAATATTTTTTTCAAAGATGAAATAATTTGAAGTAGTTTTCCTAGTTTGGGATTTGATATCATGATTTGTATTTAGTCATAATTTTCTGTTGTAAGTTCTTGCGTCGTAGCATGTAAAAACATACCAGATTTTTCTACTGTAGTAACTGATGTACATCTTTACCATGTGAATTTCTAAATTACAGAAAAGGAGGATAGTTGATGGCCATCTGTCCCTTCAACTGCTCCTCCCTTTGGCAGTACTTGATTTATTAAAAGGAAATGAATCCTCTTGCTGCCATCATCTTCTGCCCTTCTTCTTGTGTTTCCTGGATCCTTTGATTACTTGTTTGGGAAGGCAAAATTTTATTGATTTTCTATTTTGCATTTGATCTTCTATACATCGTATTTTAAATCCAGATTCGTACTGTAGAATTCCACCGCGTCATGATTTTCATCCCTGTCAGCAATTCAATCTTAATTAAATTCCTTTTAAAACCTAAATTTCAATCCCAAAAGTGCTAACCTTTCATTCTGTTACCTTGTTCACAATTTGGGGTGTTGAAGACGAGGATAAAAAATGGTGGATCCTCATGCTTACAATGTGACAACTTAGAAAAGACATCTAGATTCTAGAATTAGAGAATTGGTTTTGGTGTTTAAGTTTACGCCATGTGATGCATTGTTTAGTTGTGTTTTGGAATTGTTGAGTTTTTTGTACTATATTATGGGTTATGACTAATGAATATGATGCCTGACATTTATGTGATATGCATTATGAATTTTTGTAAAATCCTACAGGTTTATTTGGGAATTTTATCTGCCTTCTCAATTTAGATTAAATTCCTGATTTTAACTACCTTGCTTTTGTATGTTTTCTTACTGTGGTATTGTTGGTTGGATGATCTAAAAGGCATTGACTTTGTCCATAAGCCATAAGTGTTTCACCTTGTCCAATTTTTAAGTAGGATGCATGTTTCCATGATCTAGTATATCCTTAGATGAAAAAATCCACGCGCTCTTTTTTAGTTGATGTTAGGAAGCTTTAATAATCATCTCTTTTTCCTTTTGTGCTTTATTAAACTCACTAGGTGTTTCCTCACAACTCCTATGGCGGGAGAAACATCTTGGATAAGTCACTATGATGACAGACAGAGGGAGAATGGAGTGTTTGATTCATTTTTAGAAGTTGGTGAAGAAGGTGAGAAAGATGCAAGTGCTGTTTCTTTGGATGTCATTTTGCCTGATGACTTGTTGGAACGAATCCTAGCCTATCTACCTGTTGCAAGCATTTTTAGAGCTGGTTGTGTGTCTAAGAGATGGTATGAAATTGTTAATTCAGAGAGGTTTTTATGGAACCTTTCACACGTTCTACCGCAGAAACCATGGTACTTTATGTTTACAAGCTCTGATGAACCAATTGGTTATGCTTTTGATCCCGTTTTTCGTAAATGGTATAACATTGAGCTTCCATGCATTGGAACATCAAATTGGTTCATTGCTTCATCAATTGGCATGGTCTGCTTCATGGACAATGACAGCAGAAGTGAATTATGCATCTGCAACCCAATCACCAAGACCTACAAGAAGCTCGAGGAGCCTCCTGGTTTGAAATTTTCTGATTACAGTGCATTAGCAATCTCAGTGAACAGGGAATCTCACATTTATTCTGTGGCAATTGTAAAATCTAAACAAGTTCCCGAGAACTTTTTCCAGTGGGATATCTCGATTCACGTATACAATTCAGTAAACAGAACCTGGGTGACCACTTTAACTGAAGTTTTGATGGGGTGGAGAGGTGGTGATGAGAGTGTTATATGCAATGGGATGCTATACTTTCTAGTTTATTCAACTGGGGGTGGCCAACCGGAAAATCGTCATGCCCTGATTGCATATAACATGTCTAACCGTTCTTCTCAAGGTAGCTTGACAAGGAGCTTTATTCCAGTACCCTGTTCACTAACTTGTGGCCGTCTGATGAATCTGAAGGAGAAACTTGTGATGGTGGGAGGAATTGGCAAACCCGATCGACCTGACATAATAAAAGGAATTGGTATTTGGCTTCTGAATGATAAGACGTGGGAAGAAATTGCTCGAATGCCCCACAAATTCTTCCAAGGCTTTGGAGAGTTTGATGATGTTTTTGCCAGCAGTGGTGCAGATGATCTGATATACATTCAGAGTTATGGAGCTCCGGCGCTTCTCATATTTGACACCAACCATAAACAATGGAAATGGTCTCAGAAGTGCCCTGTGACAAAACGATTCCCGCTGCAGCTTTTTACTGGCTTTTGCTTTGAGCCCAGACTTGAAATAGCTCCCTAGTTCTCCTTACTATCAGCAGCAGCTCCTACTGAGAATCCTGTCCAAGGTTTCTGCTCATTTTCTTCCATTGTTCAAGTACAAATTTCTAATGATTTCAGTGTTTTTCACAGTTCATACAAAATGTTCTTCCTGATAAAACTGCTTATTCATGGATACGGGAATATTATTAATAGCATTTGAAAATACCACACCCATATATATTTTACCTTTTTCTATTCTCTATTGGTGCACCTGCTCTAATAACAATTGCAACCTTCTCCAATTCTTTATTGAAATGTAATGATGAATCTACAAAATTTTCAAGACATGCTGTTTAATTATTTACATAAAATGACTTTATTCAGTCCGTTTGTCTTATTGTGGTGTAGACCCTGAAGAAAAGGAAGAGTTGGGTGATTAATGATTTCGAATAGACATTTCTGGAAAGCTTTTATAGCTATCCATAACTAAGTTTTGACTTATTGGAGAGCCAATGGACATGCTAGGCTAAGATTTCATTCTATTGAGTGTGTCGTCCGTACATGAATATTTATATTTTTGGGAGATTAAAAAGGTTGGGAAAATAAAAGTGTTTTTTAGGGTTGTGGCTGATAAGTGAGTTCCACGAGTGTTTTGGGAAAGTTGGGTTTTCTCTGGTGAAGATGTGACATATAAAGGCTAAATAAACGAATGAAGAAACATGCTTTTTTAGATATGACTTGCATTCATTCACTAGCCAACAAGGCATGGGAAGAATATTCAAAATGCATTGCCGACGGAGCATCAAAGTAGGTTATAATAATGTACATGAATTGAGTGTCATGGATGCACACACTCAACGGTACATGTTAGTAGCAGCACAACGAATGCGTCACGTCCTATTCCAATTTATCATAAACATCACTTATTCTATTTTACTACTTTTTCAATATCATTTTCTGTTGCCCACTTTGAATTTAAGAATAACATCGACCCGTTAATCTTTTTAAGAAATTTTCTTCGACCCTTGATTTATAAATATTATATATATATATATATTACTTTTAGTTTTTTAATAACTCTATACTATGTGATTCTCTCTTATTTTTGCCCTTTATGCACGATCCATGTTATGTATATTCTCAATTGAGAAATTGGTTTGATTGACACCACTTTAGATTCAAGTATTTTATTTTTATGATAAATAAAGATGGTATCTCTTTAAGACACACTAGAGTTTCTATGACCATAAAAAACTCGTTAAAAAAATATCTATGATAAACAGATAGGAATAGTGAGTACGACACATATACACTAAGATGACTCATCTTAGAGTATATATATAATGTGCGTATTAAATTATTGCTGAATACTTTCTACTTACCAATTTATAGTATATAAAATATTGCATTTGTTTAAGAATAAATAAAGAAAAGAAAGAACAAAAAAGTTTGAGAGAAGAAAAATAATTTAGAAAGTAAAAGAAGTAATAAAACAAAATATTTATAACTTATACTTATCTATCTATTTGTGAGGTTTTTCAAGAGAAATTTATTAGGCTCTTCCATAAAGAATTAATATCACTTTTAATTTAAAAATTTTAAAGCAATATGTTTATGGATTTTTTTATTTAATATGGAACTTAGGCTCATTTATAAGTGTGAATTTTTTTTAACAATTTTTTCCATCAAGTGTAAGTCCCTTCACATGTATCATCATTTAGGATATACTTATTTGATTTTCTCTTAGAAAGATTTTCAATCTAGTTATCAAGGCAAACCATTGACTTTAATATCATTGAGTTTTTTCCAAAAAAAATTTGAGAAAATATAACAACAATGAAACATAAATTCAATTATGTAAGGGATTAATATTACCTTTAACCCTAAAACCTTAAAAACAATGAATTTATGGGTTTTTTCTACTTAATTTTCAACACTATTTATTATGTATAAAGCAATTTTGGAAATGCGGATGTATATATATCTTGAGCGTTTGATATCATGCTAAAAAGTAGACTTTAAGCCTAACTTAACCCCACAAAACTAATTTGTAAGGTAAGGTCTGCATTCACTTATATAGTATGAATTGCTCTTATCTCTAGTCAATGTTGAACTTTCAACACACACCCTTCACATCGATGTATATAGATATCTAGCGTGAGACTTGACGTTAATGGTTGATCCAATAGTAGGTGAAACAATATACCCAACAAACAACACATCTCATTAGGATAGACTCTAGCAATGACTCTAATACCATATTAAGAAATGAACTTTAAGTTTAACTCAACTCCATAAAATCAACTGCTAAGATGAGATTTGCACACACTTATGTATTCTAAATTGGTCATCTATAATTGATGTGGGACTTCCAACACACATCTCTCATGTTGAGGTATATCATCTCATGTGTGGGCTAAACATTAATGGATGATCCGATAGCGATTCAATAACATACAGGTGGAACAATAGACCCAACAAACATCAAAGTTTGCTAAGATAGACTTTAATGCATGTCATGTTTAGCATATAAATGGATGCAAATCTCACCTTACAAGACATTTTTGTGAAGTTGAGTTAAGTTTAAAGTTTACTTCTTAACATGGTTTTAAAATCACGTGTTTGAGCCTATCCTAACAAAGTCTAATGTTTGTTGGGTCTACTATTCCACATGTTATCCTTATCTTGGAAAAAATTCTATTATTCTCATATGTTATATATAATTACATAACAATTATAATTTTCGTACTATTTCATCATTATTCTAATAAGTCACTTTTGACATGTTATATTCATATTGTCTCATCTTAAATTATTATATTGCTGATTAAAAAAAATTATATTACTTTACATACATGAAAGAATAATTTTGAAAAAAATAATTAATTAAATGCACAATTAATAACTTTTTTTTCCGAAAAAAATAAATAAATAAACAAGTACTTATACTTATAAATTCTTAAAAAACAGGGACAAACCAACACCTGTATTTAGAAAAACAATAATTTTTTCTTACGAAATTATAGTTTTGAAATAAAGTGTGCTATTTTATCCGTAAATAACTTATTTTTAATGATAATCAATTATTACATGACATAATATTTTATAATGTTCTTCAAATATTTTGTAAAACTATTTTAAACATGTTTAAAAGCTATTCGAGATTGTATAAGTTTTCTCATCATTAGATGAGAGTCATTTGCTAGATTAGCTCATTGAGTTTATTGTGTCACTTTTATATAAAAATCATTTATAACTTATTATATATAAGTACAATTATTTCAAATAAATATTTTTAAACGTTTGCATAAAATATATTAAATTCATTTGTTATAGAAGATTTTTTTATAGTTTTTTTCTTATTAAAGTGTTTATAATAAAAATTGAAATAATTTAATTTACTAGATGGATATTATTTATATTTTTGTTCATTCAATATTGGAGTTCACACCCGGAGGCTCCGAAAATAATGTTTGAAAATCTTAAATACATCCTGTCTTTTATAAATTGCAACCCTTTCGTAAAATTCATAAATCAGTAGACACGAAAATCACACACACACAAAAATCTTAATTAAAATATAATTATTACATATTCAAGTGTAGATTAAGTTTTAAGTCAAAATGCAAATAAAACATAAAATATAATTCTAAGTAAAAAAATTAGTAAATATTAATTTCGTAGTAAAATACAAAACAAAATCAATTTTCCCCAGTAATTATATTTATCTTATTTATGGTATAGTTGGTTTTTGAAGTTATACGCTATGTGGTTTAACCTAAATCCAAAATTACCATTTACACTTCCTTTTCGCTGTATACTATGCAATCCTTTTTCTTTCTAATGACATGATTATTATTTTTTTCGTTTTTCAAACACTGATATATCCTTTTCACTCACATTCATGCTACAAGTCTCTTTCTATTTTCACTTTCCTATCTTGCATGATGCTTCTTAAGATTCAATTAAAATAATTTTGTTCTCCTCAATTAACTAAAACAACTTTCACTCTAGGAAGTGGAAGTTACTGTAATTTAATAAACATGTAATTTTAAATAAAAAAATACATTTAACAAAAAAAATGAAAAAAAAATAATGATTTCTGTATAGGCCCTATTTAGCCCAAAAAAAACGATTTCTTCATAACTCCATTGTTTTCTTCCTCCAACCCCAAAACTTTCAAAATAACTAAATTAACCTTTGACTTTGACTAGGGTAAAAACCCTATTTTTTTACCTTTCTCTCTCCCTTTAGAGCTGGACCTCCCTTTTTCCTCTCATCTTCAATCCTTTCTTCTCATTTCACTTTCCTTCACTATTTTCTCCATTGAAGCTTCAGATTTCCTCCACTGTGTAGTGTCATGGCTAATAAAAATCTTGTGATTGTTTGCTTGAAAGTTGAAACGGAGTGTTATATAATTAATAAGAAAATGTTAAAGGTTCAGAGAATGAGATGTTTGTGTATTTATTAATCGGATTTAATCTGATGAAGTTCTGAACCAGATTCAGAATTCAGTGTCCTAGATTTGATACATCCTATATCACACATATAATAATAATTTATTTATTTAATATATATTTTTTAGGGATAAAATAGGAACTGCAACAAAAGTTGGGGGTGCAGGAAGGAACCCCTTCAGTCCAATTGTACGTAAAAAAATTGGACAAAGCTTGATGAAGAGCCAAAATTTGTCGGGCCTAATGAAGCCCATGTAGAATCTAATTAGCTCCAAGGAGTAAAAAAAAAAACACGTATAAGGAAACACAAACACAAGCATAAACCCTCTCATTCAATTCCGAAGTTTAAGGAGCAGTTTCCTAAATTGCCGACTGCTTCAGGTAATGAGTTTCTTCCCCTACCATCTCATCCTCATCTTTTTTCTACACTTTACACTAAAAAAATCTTAAATTTTCCCTCTTTTTTTCAATTGGAATCTGTAGTCTCGCAAACCTAGTCACAATCAATTGCTGGTAATTGATTTTTTTTTTTCTTTTTTAATTTCCATCTCATAGTGAAGATGAAGAGAATGATAGCTTTGGGGTTTGAGGGTTCAGCAAATAAGATTGGTGTTGGTGTGGTTACCTTAGATGGCACAATTCTGTCAAACCCACGCCACACATACATCACTCCTCCTGGTCAAGGCTTTCTCCCAAGAGAGACAGCACAACACCATCTCCAGCATGTTCTTCCCCTTGTCAAATCCGCTTTAGAAATTGCAAAGGTCACTCCTCAGGACATTGACTGTCTCTGCTACACAAAGGGTCCTGGCATGGGAGCTCCTCTGCAAGTCTCTGCTATTGTTGTTCGTGTGCTCTCACAGCTTTGGAAGAAGCCAATTGTTGGTGTTAATCACTGTGTGGCACACGTTGAGATGGGAAGGATTGTAACCGGTGCTGATGACCCTGTTGTCTTGTATGTCAGTGGTGGCAACACTCAAGTCATTGCTTACAGTGAGGGGCGTTATAGAATCTTCGGAGAGACCATTGATATTGCTGTGGGAAATTGCTTGGATCGCTTTGCACGGGTCTTGAATCTTTCCAATGATCCAAGCCCCGGATATAACATTGAGCAGGTTCTACTTTACTAAATCCTTGTTTGAATAAATTTATCCCTAGATGCTTAAAGGGGAGAAGATGAATGTAAGTGCTTTTATGGGGAAAAAAAGATGAGAATGAATTGAGTTTTTCTTACAATTTAAAGTCAATTTATTCAGCTAGATCTTTTGCGAAAGTTAAATGAGAGAATTTTTAAGATTATATAAGTTAATTTTACCTTATTATGTCATCGTATTTATTATATTTTTTTATTAAGTACACATGGAGAAATTTATCCAATCTAGGTTGAATGTGTTTATAATTAGTTTGTGCATGTGAAGGATATGATACATGGACTATTTTTGTTATTTTTTTTTTATTGGAATTGTCTTACCTTCACTTTAGGAATGTATCACTAGTTGGCTTATGTAGTTTTGTTACCCTTTAGGTTGCAAAAAAAGGAGAAAAGTTTATAGACCTGCCTTATGTTGTCAAAGGGATGGATGTATCTTTTAGTGGAATCTTGAGCTATATTGAAGCAACTGCTGTTGAAAAGCTAAAGAATAATGAGTGCACGCCTGGAGATTTGTGCTACTCTTTGCAGGTGCATTTAATGTGTGCCGACCCCTTTCTGTTATATAAATAAATGAATGATGAATTTGTAAGTTGATGTTTTATAGTATGTTGCAGGAGACACTGTTTGCTATGCTTGTGGAGATCACTGAGCGAGCTATGGCTCATTGTGACACAAAAGATGTTCTTATAGTTGGTGGTGTGGGTTGCAATGAGCGGTTGCAAGAGATGATGAGAATCATGTGCTCTGAACGTGGTGGAAGATTGTTTGCTACTGATGATCGGTATTGCGTTGACAATGGAGCAATGATAGCTTATACTGGTCTCCTTGAATTTGCTCATGGTGCATCAACTTCACTAGAGGATTCAACATTCACCCAGCGGTTTCGGACAGATGAAGTGAAAGCAATATGGAGAGAAGCAACTTTGGAAAAATTGAATGGTCTTGCAGAGAAGAACATTTGATTTCTCAATCTTTGAGGTGCAGTCATTCTTGTACTGTTGTGCACTTAATCAGACCTTTAGCGTAGAATATTTAGCATGTATTTGAGTGAGTATTTCAGTTTTTGTAAAATTGATTGTAATGTTGCAACTGATTTTGCTAGATTATGTTGTAAAGTTGACTATAAATTTTTGTTTCAACACTAAAGTTAGCTAAAATTGTTTCAATACAGAATCAATTAATTATCGTCGAGACTAAATATATAAACTTTTCAAAGTTTTTTAGGGTAAAATTGTGACACTATTTAATCCTTTTCAAAGTATTTTTTTAATAGAATACCTATTTTGTTACTATTTCTTTTCTACTAAATCTGTCAAAAGATAGCAATATAATTGAATATTGCGTGTTTCATTGTTTGAGGAATTTCTTTTTCTTCTGATCCCACAGGTCTGATTCTGAGTGCTCATTGGTAACTTAGTACAAAAAGAACATGAGACTGCTTGGTATTCACAAATTAACCTCCTTCAAGCTCAATAGTTATTCGCACAGTGAATTTATGTATGAAAAAACACGTCAACGTGTTTGATATTTTGTTGTATTATTCAGTGGTGCTGCAACAGTGGCATCCACACCAGGATGTACCAGGGTCTAGCAATGACACTGGCTTTTGTTCCAAAGTCAGTGTAAATCTTTTACAGTGTCCTTGTTCAAGTGACTTAACAGTAGCTCTTTTCTCACAGACTTTCTCTAAAACTTGTCCGTGTAATATGTCTATTTTTCACTAAGCGTGTGTTCGTTTGAAGAGAAAACACTGTTAAGAGGAATTTGAGAAGATGAATTTAGAAAATAATTGTGTTCACATTAAGCGTGTGTTCGTTTGAAGAGAAAACGCTGTTAAGAGGAATTTGAGAAGATGAATTTAGAAAATAATTGTGTTCACATTAAGGGATTTGCAACGATTGATTCTCGCTGATTTGCGGGATGAGGTGCTTTTTTCTATCCACAGGGATGCAACGAGATTTGGAGGTGATTATGCTGAAAAATCTTTTCTACCCCTGTGAACAAGCACAGACCACATGAAGCACAGTTACTCCTCCTGCCCAACTTTATAACAAACATAGGATTTTATATGATGTGAAGGGAACGTTGTTTTGTCTCTCATCACAAAATATTTTATATAATTTTTTTTAACATCACAATTGTTTAATTTTTATATTATACATAGTTAATAATAATAATAATAATAATAATAATAATGATAATAATAATAATAATTAATAATAATAATTATTATTATTATTTCAATTTACTAAATTAATATTTTTTTACATTTTAATAATTAATTTTATTTTTTTTTCTTATAAACATTTTTACAATTAAATATAACATTAAAAATTATCATTTTATATCACTTTAATAATTAGGGATATTTTGGTAATCTTAAATTTTTATCAATTAAATAATTTTGTTTTATCTGTCACATCAATCAAATCCTACACTAATTCTCACAAACTTTACTTTCAAATTCACTCTCAATTACCCACAAATCCACTCAAAAAAACAACAAAAAAATTACCCTCAAATTCACTCAAATCCATTCAAATCATCTCCCCCAAATCATCTCCCTCAAATTCATCTAAAAGAACACAGCCTAAGGTAGCCAATCTTCAGTCTTTGTCATGTATTGCCTGCAGGTCAAGATTGTCTCTACATACTTTATTGGTGACATGCACTTTAAAATTATGAAACACGACCTGATTCTCGGTAGAATTTTCAGCATGTCATGTAATGAGATTGATCTTTGGAAAACTTCTTGTATTACCTCGAGTTACCTTGGCATGATCGATGCAAAAATTAGGATGAATTTTCCACAATTTTTTTATTGTAAGCCCCGTCTTTGAGAATTTTAAAGTCTCGTTATTAAGAAAGTACTAGTCCGAAGTAATAGTTATTTCCAAAGTAGCATTCGAAGAGGATATTTGGCCCATTCAAACTTAAAGGCTTGGCTGATCTGAATAAATGTAATTTTCCTGTTGATTTAAATAAAGTAATTTTGTGATTTAAAGTGGGAATAATCACTGTCGAAGGATTTGGAAAACAAGCACAACCCCACATAATCTAAAGGTGTTTTAAGTCAACTGTTATTTGATTCCCAAGCATAAAAGAGCATTCACCATGCAACTTAGTCCTGATAAGCTCCTTAATTTTGGAAGATTAAGTTAAACTTAAAATTTAATCTTTATTATCTTTTACATATATCTAGTATTAGAAAAGATACATAGGAGTCATGTACCAAATTCAATTAAATGCATTTAGCACCTGTTTGCAGTACAATAAACCAATAGGTGATCATATATTTGTCAGTTTTATTGATTGAAAGAGCAAAAAAGCAAAGAGAAAGTCTTGCCCCAAGGGCAATGGCACAGTTGTGCATGGGTTAAAATTGTAATGAAACCTGTCATAACGCCCTTTAATGATGCATGGTTAACCCCTAATATTGAAGTATGGGAAAGGAAGTCACAGTTCCATTTTCCCAAAAAGTATTCAACTGTGTTGAACTTGCTTTTTTGCTTTTAAATGAAGTTGTAATATGGAATAGGTACAAATAACTGAAAAATAATAGTGCGGGAATAAACTCCAAGACATGGCGTGAGATGGGATGAAAGATGGACCACAAGCTTACTTGATGTTCATAATGGACAATAAGTTCCACACTCATCTGTGGACCCTTTGTTTGTACTGTTGATGGAGCCCAAAATCGATGGATTGATTAGGACAACATGCGTTCAAAGATTCATCGTCACTGCACACTGCAATTTGCGACATCCCATAAACCGCATGCTTAAAGGCTTTAATACATTTCATCACATATTTAGTCATAATTATATGCATTATATATACTCTTCAACAGATTCATGGCCCTTATGGTCTTACAGATAGTACATTTTTGTAGGCTTAGCTTAGGTTAGGTTGTCATGAAAGAAAGCAAAATCACAATTTCAAATTTTTCACCTTTCTTTAAAGGTCCAAGTTTTTTCAACCTCTTAAATTTAGGCTTTTTGCCCTGTTTTTTTTCTTTCCGCCCTTTGCTGGTCTCATGGCTTGTTTTGTTTGTCTTTCAAAAGCTATTATGATGATGATGATGATGCCCTAACACTTTCATAAGGAGGCTGTGATTCTTTTATACATGCCATGACAACATTTTTAGAGAAAAATAAGGTTGACATAATTTGACATGGCATTTCACGATAAATAAAAAATGTTAGACAATAGCATAACTTGACAAAATTATAAGTCTGATACATAATCTTTTTAATCTAGATTTAAGTGATAAAGATTAAGGAATTTCGATGGAGACTGAAATGTGAATAAAAGGGAAGAAAAAAAAAATGACAATAATTTATGGAGGAGACAAGACAGAAGGACGACAAAATTAAGGTGTTGGGATAAGGGCCCAATGAAAGTGGAGCCATGTCTGAATCATGTGTTGACGTGGATGAATGTCTGGGAGAGAAGAGAAAACAGACTTCGTAACTTACACTCAGAGTTTACTTCTTGTTGGAGTTTGCTTGGTGATTTTGAGGGTGACACAGCACTGTCAGGTTTCAAAGAAAAAACGAGAAGAAAACATTGCAGTCTCACTGTTAAAAAGGAATGATAATAAAGTTTGCAATTTGAATTGGAGAGCTGCGAATTGTGGGAAGAAGGAAGGAATAGAAAGATGGAAAGAAGAGAAAAAGGTGAGAAAAGGGAAGTGTTAATGGCGGAAAAGTTGAAAGGTGGGGTTTTTGTGGGGAAAAGAGGAGGGCCTTCAACTCCCCCACCCACATGGAGACTTGAGTTTCCCTCTCAGCGGAATGACAATAATGGTAACAACAGAAGCAAAAACAAAAACCAGGTTGAAGAATTCCTCAACTTTCCCACCCCAACAACACTCTCTGCCAGAAAACTCTGCGCCAAACTCTGGCAAATTCAGCCCCACAAACAGGCCCCACTTCCCAAAATGAACAGGCCTCCACTCATCCGCCCTCACCGTAGGGACACACTTCTCAAGGTTCCAAATCTTAAACATTTGCCATCTCTTGCATCTACTTGCACTTTCCTTGTTTCTGCATCACTGAGCTGTAATGGCTTTTTCTTACTTCAAACAAGTTTTCAGTTTTGTTTTTCATATATGATTTCCTTCTATACTACTGTCTCTGCTTTTTTTCTTCTGTTGTTATTGAGTTTTCTTTCATCACCTCTTGCTGTCTCCTGTTTTTAGTTCCAGAAATGTTCTAATGGGAAGGTAGACTGTAGACTGTCCCATCTGTCATGTTACCTTTAACATTTTTGCAAAATATTGCTTTGGTAAACTTCTTCCTATTTTATGTTTCACCTAAAATGGGAAAACTTTTAGCTTTGGCTTTAAAAGTCAGTGACTAGCCTTTGTTTATTATACATGTCTTAGTTTTTTTGTTGGATAGAAAAATTTTTGTTTAGACTTTTTCTTCATTCCCCAAAATGTGATTTTCCAATTTGTTGGTTTGTTCTATCGGCTCCATTTTAGTTTCTGCTGAAATGCTTCTGTTCCAATCCATTTTTCTTATTTATGCACATATCAACTGCTCATACCAATTTTGCTGAAGCATTTTGAATACTATTGTTTAATGGAGAAGTACTCGTGCTGTGTCTAGTAGACCTTTCATGGCATTCTATATGTTCAGATTGCTGACTTTTGCTTTGTTCCTTATTGCAGCCAGCATCCGCTACGCGCTTGACAGAACATGTTGGAACATCACTTGTTCAGCACCATAGATCAGCTAAAAGGAATGGTCGCACTAAACAGCCTGTATCTCCTCCTTGTCACTGTAGCTCAATGCAAGTAAGTGTGTGCGTGTATTCCCTTCAAATAGTGAGCAGTTCTATTAGTTCTAAGACATTAATTAGCAGCACTATGTAAATATGAATGTTGAACGATGATGCGATGTTAATAGTTTTACCTTTTCTTTGATTTTCCTTTTAACAATTACCATTGTTGTTACCTTTGTTCTTATAACCACCAAATGCACCAGAAGGAAACACGTTCTTCTTGCAGTTAAAGAACCTCTATAATATATTGAGGCTAGACATAGAACCTCTATGACATTTTTAATGAATATCTTAAAATCGCTAGACAGATAATGTTATTTATTTATTTCAATGATCCTTCTATGTCCTTTTTAATGCATATCTTAAAAAACGTTCTGTTGACCAGATCATTTTAAAAACTTTGCCTATTTTTTCTTTGGATCTTGTATAATAAGATGAATATGCAATTTGGTAAAAACAGGTTGCACCATATAATAACCCTATGAGATCCGTAGACTTCAGGAGTTGGATTACAGAGTCAAATCGCAACCCCAAAGCATCCAGAGAGTTACTTAAGGTACTCAACCATATCTGGTGTCTTGAAGAACAGCATGCATCAAACCTATCAGTAGTGAAGGCCCTGAAGATGGAACTAGATCTTTCTCGGGCACAGGTTAAAGAGTTACAACAAGAAAAACAATTGAATAAGCATGAAATGGAGAACTTAATAAAGCAAAGAACTGAGGAGAAGATTGTTAAGAAGAGCAAAGAGAATGATAAAATTAAAGCTGCAATTCAATCTGTGATGAAAGAGATAGAAGATGAAAGGAGATTAAGAAAGCATTCAGAAAGCTTGCATCGGAGGTTGGCTAGGGAGCTTTCTGAAGTGAAGTCTTCATTCAGTGGTTCTATGAAAGATCTTGAAAAAGAGAGAAAAACACGGATCCTTTTAGAGAATTTGTGTGATGATTTTGCCAAAGGAATAAGAGATTATGAATATGAGGTACGTTCTCTTGTGCATGATAATTCTGAGCAGGGTCAAGCACAGGTTAAAGGGAGTAGCCTTGATAGGCTAATACTGAATCTGTCAGATGCTTGGCTTGATGAGCGCAAGCAAATGAAGTTAGTTCAAGCTGGCCGTGATCTCCCAGAGTTAGATTCATCAATTGTTGACAAGTTAGGTGTTGATATTGAAACATTTCTGCATGCAAAAAGGTCTGTTAACTTGAGAAGATACAGTAACTCCTCCACAAAGGAGGCAAAGGAAATTTACCCTTGCCTGCATTCAAGGGCACCTCGTAATGTGGCTGAAGAAGACTCCGTTGGTAACTACATTTTAGAGCAGAAAAAGACTTCAGACAAAGGACTCGACAAACATGGCTCCAAAATGAACAACAATACTGCAGAGGTTGATAGAGAAAAGAAAGGAAGGCACCATTCTATGAGGAATCATGTTGAGTCCAAGGAAATCATTGAAGACTGTCGTGAGTTGCAAGCAGGTATGATGAAGAACCTGTCATGTGATGAAAATGAGAGTTGGTTTGTTGAGAGGAAATCAAGTGAAATTGGAGGGGACAGCACAGCTCTATTTAATACCCCTGGGACATCTACTGTTTGTGAGGCAACACAAGGTCCACCAGAAAGTAATGCATTATTGTGGACAAAGAGAATGAATTCAAGTCATGCAGTTAGAAACAGTTCCTTGTCTTCTGAAGGCAATGATAAGGTTTATCCAGAGAGTATTTTCAGGGAAGATTTACCTCTCCGCACCGCACTTAGTCCTGTAAAACAATGGAAATCTACATTGATTGTCCCAGATTTTGACAAGTCTGAGTCTTGTTCCAAATTGCTTATAAAAGAAAATGACACGTTGATGGAAAAACTGCTTGAAGCAAGAATGGAGAGGCAGAAATCCCGCTTTAGAGCTAGCATTAGTAAAAGCTCATTTCCTTCTGCCAGACAAGTTTGTAATGAGAAACATAGGAGTGTGAGTAGTTGCCATGGTATCGCACTCTGATGACACAATTAACCTATTTTTGAAAGCAGCTATCGAATCGTAGGAATTTTATATAGTTAAATGGATGAAGATCATTGTTGAGTCCATTACCATCTCTTCATCGGTGCTAGTTACCGTAGTTTGACCTTTATTAGATTCCTCTCAGTTCCACGTTTCGTAGATTTACACTGAAGCATAATAACCCTAGTTTACATCTAGTTACATGTTATTCCACGTTTCTTAGATTATACGTACGTCCATAATGAAGCAAAAGCTGTAGCTTATGCCTGCGTCTTTTGACAAAATTAACATGATTTTTACGGGGTATTAACGTGTCCAGACATACGATTTGTTCCTACTCAAATCTTAAAGCTATAATAATATATTGACACTTAGTTAAAGAACATTAAAGTTTGATTTATTTATCAAACGACTGTATAAAATACAGTGAGTTCGTACCAGGAGGTTGTCGCGATGTACAGAAAGACAGAATGCTGCCTGCATTCATTTTGACATTACTTTTTTTATCTTTTTCCAAAAAGCAGTTACTATTTTTCTGCCAATTTTTAGTTGTTTATGACTACATGTACCATTTCAATCCCTTATTATTGAAAACATTTTCCTCATTCATTTGAAGGGATAATAATTTCAATGTTAGGACATTTTAGCACAGACAAACATAAACCAATAACTTAATCTAGAATAAAAAACAACACAATTGAATTCAATAGTAATACACTTTAAGTCCAACGACTATAGAATGTATAACAAAATTGTGTGGGTGTGTGTACACCCGCAATTTGAAAATTAAAATCCATTTTTGCTATTAATTGTTGTAATACTAAAAAGTGCGCAAATTAAAGTGAAACGTACAATTTCGGAGGAAAGAATATTTTAAAGTAGTTATTCACTTCTTTGGCAGCGTGTTGGTGAAACTCAGTTATCTGTATTTTGTGTCGACCACTAATCAATATGAAATAAATCAGAATAATGGTTAGGCACAAGATAAATAATATGTATAATAAAATAAATGGAAAACCAAAATAGTTCAAGATGAAAAACGGAATGTCCGTCTTCTCGCTTTTCGAATCACCCACTCGTGAAAACCCATCACAAGGTCACCACTAAACCTTTAGAAAAATAATGTCAGAGAAATTATTTATTTTGATAAGAAAATGATCAACCTATTACAGGAGTCTTGACACAAAAGTATATGCTTAACTATACTTTTGTGTACTGCACAGACCTATGATGGGGGAGAAAATAAGACAAGGGAGTAAACACAAACGCAGGTAGAAGAAGCACTGTCCTAAGGATAGTTTTGATATGTTCAGATCATCACATAGCCAAGATACATGTCATGTCCCCTCATTCCCCTTCTTAAACTATCAAATCGTGAAAACTACACAACTTTTTCCTCTTCTCCCTCAGCCAGAGCCCCTCTAAATGAAGAATTTTTTAATTCTCACATAAAAATGTATTTACATAACCTATAAAACGAAAATATAAGCATATGGCATTAAACCCACATGATGAAAGAAAGGTGAAGCCAAAAGATAGAAAATCTAACAGACAGATATGCAGTCACATGACTGACTATCCACAATCTAACTTATAATATATGCTCTACTTTAATGGATCTGTAAACCATATACAAAAGGAAGTCTATGAAAACAGAGCCCAAGGCTCTAATTGGGCAGACACAAAGGGATAAACTAGTTAAGAATCTTCAATCTTGAGAAGTATGGATTGGAACACAATTTATTCCATTTTCATCCCTTCTACCCTTCAATTGTCTTCTTTATCAGACATCCAAACACCTAAGCAAGTGACTGAAACAGAACAATCACACAATCCCATTAAGCTCCACACCCCAACGTAAAACCGTAACCACAGAGAGCATTAGACAAAAAACACAAGGAAAAGCAATCATCAGGAACAGGGTTTTAAAAAAAATCCACCACCGTGAATTGAGCGGCTCTGCAACCATAGTTACGGCCGCGAATACTATGCTTTGTCCGCGCAATTAAACAGAATATCAAAGATCCCAACAGCAAAGGCAAGTAAAACCTTTAGCAGGTCAAGGAAAACACAGACGAAACCCTTCAACTTTTTTCCAGTTATACTTTGTACTAACAATCCAATCCACGAAGCTCTAATTAAACAGCATGGAAATAAAATACATAGCAGCGGCAGCAGTAGCACAATAATAACGAAACAAAAATGGGATGACATGACAGTCGAAAATATCTGAGTTATTAAACAACAGCGCATCATAAAATAAAATCCAACACCGAGATGTAAAGTGACGAGAGATGCAAGGAAGCAAATAGAAACACAAGTACAAATTCTAGAGATATATTATTATATAGATAATAATGGCGATGGTGGTGGAGATTAGATTTTATCGATATCCTCGTCTTCGAACTCGATGTAGTCGTTGGCGGTGGCATCGTCCTCCTCGTCCAAGCCTGCGCCAATGCCCTCGTTGAGGCGCGTGGTGTCGGGGAGCTCGCCGTAGGCCTTGAGGAGCCTGGCTTCGTCGGGCATGTACTTGAGGATGACGTCAGCCTTGTCGTCCTGGTAGTCCCGGAGGCCGACGAGGATGATGTCCCCAGCGGCGATCCAGACCTTCTTGTGCATCTTGCCTCGGATGTGGCAGAGGCGTTTGGTGCCGTCGATGCACATGGCCTCACAGCGACCGTTGCCGAGCATGCGGAGGACCTGAGCGTACTCCTGGCCGTCCTCCTTGAACACTAACTCCCTCTTCTCGTCGTCCGCTTCGTTCTTTCCCCTCTTCCTGTTCTTACCTCCCTTTCCCTTGTTCTTCGGCATCCTAAAAACCCAACCCTAACCCTAACCCTAACCCCTCTCTTATCTCTCTATCGATTTCGTTCCTTCTTTTTTCTCCCTTCTCCTCCCAACACACCACAGATAATAAAGTGAGTGCCGTGTGGTATTGTGTTGTGTTCTGATTTTAATCTCACCCTATTCTTTCCCTTTTATATATTCCCCAAACCTCGCTTTCCTGCTTCATTTCCTCTTTCTCCATCTACGCTTCCAACTCAAACGTGTACCGCCCTAATTTTTTCTTTAATTATTATTCCATTATTCTCTACGTTTTCTCACTCTATATTAGAATTGCCAATTTTAATTAAACATAGTAAATTTTAAGTATTTTTACTCTGTTTAATGATGTCTTCTAAAATATTTAATTGATTACATTGCATTTTCTATTATTTAACTTATATTATTATATCAAGATTTAGCAAAAATATTAATTAATTTTAATTAGTAAAAAAATAGATACTTTACACTTTATATACACGTAGCATACAAGGCCTGACAAATCAAATCCACGGTCCAGCCCAATTCATAAGCGATCTCAAACATTCTATTAAGTTGTCAAACATTAAATATTTCCAACCACGAAAACGAATAACCGTAATTTTCGTATTTTATTGCAACACACAATTCCTTTATGATTTATTTCGTGTGAAAATGTTTTGTCATTTTTCGTATGTTTATAATTAGGGATGACAAAAAAAATCTTATATAAAAGTGAATATTCTACCCACAAAAAATAAAAATAAAATTATATTTTATTAAGTTAAATTTAATTAAAATTAACATTAATTTATATTTTATTAAATTTAATTTAATTAAAATTAACATTAATTTATATTTTATAAGATTAAATTTAATTAAAATAAAATTTTAATTTATATTTAATTTAATTTATATTATATTTTATATTTTTTTTAATTTTATTTAAATTTTATTATTATAAAAATAATTTTTTTAAAAATATTTATGGATATATGTGAAATATCTACAGATATCCTAGATATCTGGGAGTTTTAAAATATTCACAGGTATTTTTTAAATGGATATCTATATGGATAGGAGATGAGGTAACATATGGATTTTTTTGTTGAGTCAAGGTTGTTATCCCACCCGAGTGATTATCATCCTATGTCTAGTGTTAAAAAAAGTTATAGAGACAAATAGTTAGAATTCATACAAAATAATTTAATAAGTTAAAAAAAACTCATCAGAAGTAATTGAATAACAGTATACAAACATTTTACATGTAATGAATAAAATAAAATACTTTTTTTTCCCTTTAGCTATTGCTTCTGTTATGAATAAAATGCAAATAACAAGTGATAAAATTAATAAAATTCGAAAAAGAAAGCAATGCAAGGTCTTTGGCATTTGAAAAAGTGATTATTCCGAGGAAGGTTAAAAGGTGATACATGGAACTTATTCATTATTTGATTATCTGAAATGGTTGATTGAGAACTGGATTCCAATTCCATATCCTACCAAAATACCAAATTTACAATTCATTCCTTCCGTTTCTAGCAAGAGATAGAATAGGATTTTATGGCCATGGATACTTGGTGAACTGCATCAAAAGTACTTTTCTTATATAATCGGTGATAGACCTGCTTTATCATGTATATAGATATACGTTTTTATTTAATTATATGGCTTTGAATTTGTTAAATATATTATTTTTATTTTATTTTTATCTTTTATTTTTAGTTAATTTATTATTATTTTTTATTTATATGGTTTAGTTCATATTTTTTATTTTAAATAAAGAGTTTTATATACAAGAGAGTAATCTCATATATAGTTTTCACTATATTTAATATGGTATCAAAGTATAAGGTTCTTTTGTGGAAAAAATATCAGATGTTTTTTGTCACTACAATCGATGGCAGCATCGTCTACCATTGTCGATATCATCGTCGTCTACCGTTATTACTACCAAAGTTCTAGTTTTGACTGACGATCACACGATTTTGATCGTCTAGATAAGGTGATCACCGTGTCATCAACAACACTTTCATCAAAACTTTTACGCGCGTTTTTTGAAGTTGTGGATTTGCTTCCTTTTTTTTATCATACATAGTGGCACGTCTTGAAGCTATTCAAAGCGTCGATATCACTCTTTTTCCTCTTTCAGCTTGTCATGCATGGTGGCACCTCTCAATAAGTTATTTAGAGCATTGATGTTGCTTCTTTTTTTCATGCCTTGATTGCCTTCATTAGAGAATCTTGGATTTTTAAAGTTTCTCTCTCTCGTTCATCAATA